TTCGGAAATTGGTAACTTTACAGCGCATTTTCAAGTAAAATAAGGTAAATAGCATCGAACGTAGTTCTGTAAATGGAATTTTGTGAATTATGTATAATCATAAGGAAATTAGAGGAAATACAATTGAAAGAGAAAGTGAGATTTTCTTTGAAATACTTTTTTACGACAAATATTTATGGAAAAGAAAATTGGTGCGTTGTGTGTGGGATCATGTGTGACTAACGCTGCATATTCAATATGAGTTAATTAAATCTTAACATTAAATGTATATAAAAGGAAACGATGCTTTAACTTAACAGTGCTTTGAATTAACAAGTGAAAGAATTTATTAAAATTATATTAACACGTTGAAGAATTTAATTAACAAGAACAGTAAGAATTTACATTAACACGTTGTCAATGTTGATTTAATGAAAATAGTATTGAAAAGAATATTTGAAATTTAAAGAAATAAAGTGGGAGACATTAAGATTAATAATGAACTCTCAATTTAATCAAACGGACGTTCGTTACTAATTTTCGTAAGAAAATCCAGCTATTAATTAAATGTATATATAATTGTATCAATTAAATCATTTCTCCCAAAACTCGATAATGAATATCCAAATCGATTAAAAAAAAAAATTCACGAAATTTAAACTGAATTATTTAAATCAACCACTAAAATTAAAATTACAATTAAATTTACAAATAAACATTAACGCAATATTAATTTTCCCTAATTTACTCGATTTGTACTGAATTTATGGTTGTCACACACGAGCCACCAACAATGCTCAAATTATTACCGAATAAAATAAAAATATTTCACAATAAAAAAAAAAATTAACAAAACAACGCTAATTTGGATTGAAACTAATACAATTTAATAATAATTTAAATGAAAGAAATCAGTCCTTAGTATTCCTATCAACCCGTATTATCGTGTACCGTATCGCTATTACTACTATTATAATCAACGCTTTAATACAACGAGAATTAATATAAAATTACAAAGATCATAGATCCCATAAAATGTGTGGCCGTTAAAGTGTTAACAGTAGCGGATAGAGATGTTAATCGTAGCATGATCGACACATTCAATCCGATATTCTTTTTCTTAGCTTTCAGAGGAATAGTAATTAATAATCTCGTTCTCTCTCTCTCTCTCTCTCGCGACTAACAATGTAACACTTCCATTATCTTTAACAACAACAGTAACAACATGTTCTTCGATAGCAAGGTGCTATCGTTGGAATTGTGTTTTGAACGGAGCACTCGTGTCTCGTCCTCGAAACAAGAATTAATTTTCTTCATTTAGCCAATAGAATTTTGTGAAGGTGATAAATTTTATTCATTTCGAATTTCAGTTCGATTTTGTAAAATCGTGTTCTCCGTTCGAATGTTCTTGAGGTTTTCGGGGAATATTCTTGTCGATGTTCATTTCTATTTTGTTTAGACGCGAGGAGTCGAGACGAGTGCTTTCGAGTGGAATTTCTTGACAGTGTAAGCCGTAAGAGCCGGAGTCATAGGAAATAAGCATTTGATGAATTTAGGAAATCTTTTTTAAAAATTAGGTTTCTTTCGATACGATTCGTGTTGTAACTAGATAAGGGTGAGTTTGGTTTTGGAAATTTTGGAGTTTGGAAAATTGGGAACTTAGGAATTGATGAATTCGAGGAATTTTTAGTTGAAGAATATGGAGAAATTGGCTTTTGGAAATTTGAGAAGTTTGTAATTAAGGAATATGGATATTTGGAGATTTGGAGATTTGGAAATTAGGGAACTTGCAAATTTGGAAATTTTAGAAATTAAAAAGTTAGAAGCTTGAAAACTTAGAAATGTAAAGATTTAGAAATTTGAGAATTTAGGGATTCAGAAATTTGCAAACTTGAGAAATTTGGTCATTTCTGCGTTTAGAACATTGGGAATTTAAAAGTTTTGAGATATAGGAATTTTTAAATGTAGCAATTTAGGAATTTTGGATTTTTGGAATTTTGGAATTTTGGAATTTTGGAATTTTGGAATTTTGGAATTTTGGAATTTTGGAATTTTGGAATTTGGGAATTTTGGAATTTTGAAATTTTAGAATTTTAGAATTTTGGAATTTTGGGATGTAAGAATTTAGGAATTTTAAAATTTGAGAATTTGGAGATTTAGAGATTTGAAAATTTGGAAATTTGGCATTTTGGAATTTTGGAATTTTGAGATGTAGGAATTTAGGAATTTTGGAATTTGAGGATTTGGAGATTTGGAATTTTGGAATTTTGGGATGTAGGAATTTAGAAATTTTAGAATTTGAAGATTTAGAGTTTTGGAAATTTGGAGATTTGGAAATTTGGAATTTAAGGACATGGGTAGTTCAGGTATTCGAAAACGATCAAATTATGAAGTTTGACAATCTAGTACTTTTTAAAATTTAAAGAGACATCAGTAACTTGTTGAAAATTTGTAAAATATGTTTCAGAATTAAAAGGTCTATTTTGGAAAATTTGAAATTTGAAAATTTAATAATTGATCATCTGAGAATTTTAAGATTTTTAAATTTCTAATATCTACTAACTGGCCCAAGTTATTACAGTATTCAAATAGTTATAGTTCCAAGAGTGACAAAAATTGACATAGATTCAATTAAAAAATTCAAAGTCAAACCATTGACCCTTCCTTCCATTTTGTTGCAAATATCATACAAAAATGTATACTAAAAATTTCTTGTATTTTGTCAAATAGAAATGAATTCCAAACATCATAATTAATAAAATCGTTTCTAACAATTTTTTGTTCATTCAACACAAAGCGACTCTAAAAAAATAGCAAATCTATTGTACATCTCTTTTACAAAACTTGTTATATTAGACCAATTCACCAAATTTGTTATATGAGAGTCTAAAAACATTTTTCAAAGTTGAACAAATTTTGCATTGAAACAAAATTCCAAAAGTCCATATTTCTCTCAATACACAATGTCGATTATGTCCGAAATAGTACAGTATTCGAAAGAGCGCAGCATTTATACAGCAAAACTGTATGAACAAAACCAACCCAAACAACTACTTTTCTATGACTCACTCTGGCTTACACGGTACAATGCGTTCTATGTACAGCGAACGTAGTTTTTTAGAACATTAAACCTATCACTGTCGATTTTTCCTACACCCACGCGCACACATTCATACGAATGCACACACTCACGCACACAGAAACACGCATACAATATTCTTGGTTGCTCGGTTTTCTGTTGTCTTATAGAAGAACTTTGGCCTCTCTCAACTACTCCTTACGAGGATAGATTTTCGTCAGCGAGATGTGCGAAGTGTCAGGACGTCGATTTATATTATAGTTTTTCCATCCGATGAAATTCGTTTATGCTAAAAAATATTCCGCCTTAAAAGGGTTACGATGAGATTCAGTCTCAGGCACCGTTGCGTATTGTAACGTTCTAATTTTAGCCTTTTTTGCGCTTTTCTAGTCCTGATTCTCTGTTGTTCGAATTTTGAACGCGAAATGGCGACGGCTATCGCTTCAGGTGTTTTCAAAATGGCCGCCACGGTAAATTCGTAAATCAGTTAATAGTTAAAGCAGTAACTTTTGAATGTTCTTAATATAAAATTAACTTGTAAGCTCTACTAAATAACCGATTAAAAGGATCGGAACTAAAGATAACCTAAAAATTGACTATGTGTCTGTAATAGTTTTTAATGTAGTATACATGACGCATGTTAATTTTCATCGCTGTCAACAATGTTAATACACTAATATTAATATTGATACATTATATTATTAATGCACATGTATTAATATTAACATTAATATAATCGTATTAATTTCTGTGTTTGCACCGGCCATTTTATTTGAAGCGACAATCATCATCGCTCCATTTCATTTATTTCCTCTAAAAATTTGTGACGACACCTGACACTCCTCGATGGATTTCATTAAATCGTAAACACCCGGTGAATTTTATTACATGTACATTTTGTTGAGCATATTACGTCCTCGAAGTGGGTTTCTTTTAGAATATTTCATTGTTTACCACAATATACATACTTAACGTGTAATAGTATCTCGTGTGTACATTACGTATTAAATATAATGTATATGTATATATGTATATATGTATATATGACATACTCGAATGCCATAGTTACATCATTATGGTACACATTGACATTTTCCATCAAGATGTCGATTGGTTTTCAGCAGCGTTTCCGCCTTAGCGTTCGTTTTGACGAACGGTCGTTGGCTCGAATGTGCGCCCTATTTTTCCGCCTTCCTTTTCGTATTTCGCAAAAAAAAACGGGCTGAAGTTTCGTACAAAGTTTCAACGAGACTCTCAAAAGATTTAGGAATTTCAATAACTATCTATTGCATTGTTGCTGCCTGAATTTTACGTCGTTTTAGTTTCAATTTCTCCCGAATCGCTTTTCAATGTATTTTGGAACTGCGATAAGTAGCGTTTATTCTCGATCGAATTCTTCGATCTTGTCGAATTTACGAACTTGCTGAATTCTTCGAATGGAACCATGCCCGAGTACACGAAAATCCACGATTATATTTTCGATATACGCAACCGAGTAACATCTTCAACGATAAGAAAGTGTTCTTTAATGTGTATTCAAAAATTTATACATCGAATTCTCTTTTCTCGATGCGTGTCGAAACTGAGCGACATCTACTTCAAGAGAATAAATAATAAAATATAATAGTAAAGCTTTTTATGTTCATTCGATTCGTGACTAATCTTTCACTCGTTTCGTTTAAACACGAGACAAATTTCTACCCAAGCTAAACGTTCAAAAATCCGGCTACGAGCTTGCTGACAAAATGGCCGATTTATTTACAACAGCAATTGGCTCTATACTTTAGAAGCAACACATCGTTGAAAATTAGATATCGCTTCGTATACGAATTTGCAAGCATACTATAAAATATTTTCTCTAAATGATATACGTATTCATCGCAACTGTAATCTCCAAACGAAGAACTTTTTATAAATTTTAATTCACTACGACAATAAAATATTTGTACAATTAGTATAAAAGCTTCAAATTGATATGGCATAATTACGTATAAAAATCGGCCACTTAGCCTAACACTTAAAACAACCCGTTGAAAACTCCACAAACCTAACCTCCCAGCGTTTCATCCAACGGAACGTGGGTAGAATTAAAAATTTCTTCAAGAAATCGTGTTTCACAGGTTCTCGTCAAGGTGCAAACACCGTAAACTCCAAAAAGATGGTCTCAGAGCATCCCATAGGTTGGACGCAATCAAAACATGAACACCATACACTGGCACTTGGCGGTGCACCTCCAAAGCGTACTTTGCTTTGATACGACAATCGGAAATACGTAATTCGAGAGGGGAACGATCGAATCTCGATTTTGTTAGCTTCTTCGTAGGCACTGAACGTTCACCCGTATCTTCATGTTTGCTCGAAGACTGTCCACATAGCAGGATGGTTCAGAAACTTCGTTCGACGATTGGACACCGTCGATTCGTGACAAGAGAAGCCTCGATGAGGCTACGAGGCATTAACTCGTTGTCCAAAATGAAGGAGAAGCTGGATTCGCTCTTTGGGGACTCTTCCGTGCTTCCTGAGGGATTGGGCAATCGCAGCCGGCTCTTTAAGATCACAGAACTGTTTCCATCTCGGCGATTTCCGTCCTGGTTGCACCTTCGTCCGGAATCCTGAAAGGATTGAACTTTGAGATGTCTTTGAAATAATTTTATCTAGTTTTTTAGGATTTTGGGGATTGGTTGTGAGATTTTGTGACAGAATTTGGGACAGAGGGTGGGATATTTGATTAGTTTTTATATTTTGTTGACATAATACTTTCCTACGGTTTCGAATAGGTCTGTGTAAGTCTTATTACTTACATGATGATTCTTTAGTTGTCAAATCTATGTCTAGTAAATAAATACTGTTTCTAAGTAATGAACAAAAGAGATTACAAGGTTTCGAAAATAGTTAGATAAAAGTAACATATATTCAGAATTAATTTTTATAAAGCCCTAAAAATTAATCGATAATTCGTATAAATTAACAAAAAGACATGTTGTTCACAGAAAATGGAAGAAAGTAAAAATTATCAAACTCATTATGCGTGCATTTATGTTTTTAAACGATGATTAAACTATTGACTGTATTGACTATGGACTATATTAAAATCGCGATTAACACGTTACAAAATTAATTGTTACAGCAAAGTTTGTTATCACAATTTATTTGGTTGAAAGAGTAAAAATAGTGTAATTACCTGTAGATTTCGGTTGGCAAAAACTTCTGCGAATATTCCGTGCTGACGACGTGATTCCTAGTCATGTCCCGTGGCCTTGCGACATCGATGGCGTCGATGAATCTAAATCCAACAAAATATCTATGCAACGATTTTCCAAAGAAAACGAATTTTATGTTACCTATAAATAGATAGATAGATAGACACACGTACAGAATGAGTCGCTTAAGATCAGAATCCAAGATATGATGCTACGAGAAAATCTTTAGGAACCTTGTTTTTTAAAATGAACTTCGTGTAAGATAGATTTATTATTGGATAGAGATCAATAGATTTATTTACTGAGATATGTAGATGACTTTGATATCAAAATCAAATCTGTAATCGTCAATATCAAAGTATATGTTACGAAACGTGTAATATTCGAATAACATAACCTATAAGTGTGACTTCTTCATAATATTTCAGTAAAAATGAATATTCCAAGAAAAATGATAATATATAATATTATATATATACATATTAATTATACATACAGTTAATTTACTATGGTGATTTATTTGTTAGAAGTTTTTTTATGAAACATTTAACAAAGTCACTTGAACGAAATATAGTAATCGTAATTGATCGTGCATACATTGTTCTCTATCTGCACAGTATTATAAAATAATTGAGACATAATCTTAAATTAATGAATTAATCCAAATATGTCAGCAAATTAATTAAAGTTATTTTGGGGGCTAATTAACTTTGTTATTCCATGAAATAATTCTATCTGAACTCACTCGTTGCCAATCAATTGTATCCTTCATTCCACGGAATATGGCATCATTTTGTTACAATGATACAACATTCTCACGGTTCTCTTCACGCGACAATTTCAAATTGTTTAATTAAAACTCTAGCGAATTGCGAAAGACAACTGTTACACGAAATTGTAAATACGTGACATTTAATTAAAGTAGTTTAAAAATGTTATGCAAGTAGCGAGAGACAGTAATTGTTAATTGCTGGATTGCATTATTAAATTAACAATAAATGAAATTGTAATATCGTAAGATATTTATTGCAATATTTTTCAAAATTAATTAATTTATACGTATTACAAGTGTAAATGTGACGTCAACAGAAGAAGAAATATTTGATATTATTCAATAAAATGAAATACATTTATATTTTCATATTTCATAATATATTTTAAAAGAAAAAGATATCAATATTAAGAAAATATTAATATGAGGAAAGGTTGCATCAACATTATTTGTATATGTATAAGAAAAAATGTTTATTTATTTTTAAATTTATTTTAAATAATTGTACCCCTATTCCTTAGAGATGAGTATATTTTTATATAATAATTTTCAAAACAAGGATACATAAATGTGACTTACTTCCCAAAACTATACTCATTATTTTTAGTAATTATACAGAATAAAATAATTACATTTCGTATCATAATAATTTCAATTTAATTTTGGAGAAATTTCTACTAATTTTGGAGAAAGAGGTTCTGCCTCCCTCTTTATATTGCAATTTTCTGTGATAAGGGTGTATTCGGCAACAGTACGAATGTGTAACAATAATTGTACTCCTGTACAATTATTATTTTATAATAATCCCGTCGATTTCACAAAACAAGTGTTCCCCTAACGATTTCCTCAGGAAACAAGACAGATTCTATTCTTAGGCGACACACACTGTACAAATGACTCGGTCCGCGCTACATTCTTTCCCTGGCTTTTCCTAATTCCCAGCAATTTCCTCGACCAGAATAAATCGCCCTGCTGCACTGTCGAGCTGTCGCCATCGTGGACGATTTATCGTTCGCTATGCGTTTTCGATACAGTCGCCACGAGCCGATCGAGAATTCGTCGTTGAACTCGCATGCCATGCTTCAGAGCACATGAAAAAGTGGGCAGATCGATATGATACGAAAACACGATCTCAAACAGAGAGAGAATGTTAGAAAGATAGGTATAAAAAAATGTAATATAATAGTAGTTGCATGTATGCAGACGTACTAAACTACCAAGCAAAAGCAGCTAGTCTATCGTTACTTTTATCGTTTCAATTTTCTATCACTGTTATCGCCTCGTGACGCTCTCGATTACCGTTTTCCATTTTTGATTTATGGCAGCTGAAGGATTTACGCGCCACGGAGATATTATCTGTGTGCACATTAATTTTGATCGATACCGATTTCTGTATTTACGCGAAAATTTGTGGAAGCTGAAACATATGTTGATTTAAGATGCTGATCAATTTGAAATAGCTGGTAAATTCAATTTTATGAAAGAGATTGGTTCAAACATTTTAATATAAACAGTTAATATAAAATATTTAAGTTATTATTATATTTTGAAAGTGCAAATATGTGCAAGGTACATTTGAATTTTTATAATTTTTAGTTTTAACAGATCGAATAAAAAAGTGTTGCAACATCTACCTATGACTTCTACGTTAACAAAAGATAATTTTAGGATATCCCCCCTTGCGTTATAGGAAAGTGACCTCAAACGAGCCTCACGAGACCGATAATCCCCTTTCTATCAGCAGTGCACGTATATATCGACATTTCTACGTTCAGAATGACAATTTTCGCAGACACTTCACAAAATGATCAAGAACAGAAGCACTGACTCGTCGATTTTTGCGTGCACCCCAAGACAGCCATCAAAGCGACGTAGGAACCTTTTTTCCAATACCTACAAGCTAGAATGTTCACATTGCATGTAAATTATTATAGCTATAAATTATAAATTATAAATTATTATAGAAACGCGCTGACTTTTGTTTTGACAAAAAGGCTTGGAATTTCAGATGTGCTCTTACAGGAAGAAGATAATGTTAGTGTTACCGGTATAAATTTTTGACATTTTTCACGTTTTTAAGATTGAAAGGCCTGTACGAATGATATAATTTATTAGATACGCATGATACTTTATGATACATGAAAATTTATTAGATACACACTATTATACATTATTAACACATGTTAATATCTTGTATTTCTACCCTTTCATTGGTAGCTTGTATCTAGCTTACTTATACATTGATCATATGCTCTATATCTTCATTTTCCCAAATATCTGTAATTCTTTTCAACTCAGATAATGTGGTTGGAGAGTTGTAAACTAGTCTTTTGAGTAGGCAGACATTTTCTATGGTATTCAAATTTCACCTGGCGCGCTATCGATACTCCTAACGCAAACGCACGGCCCTTAATTTTTTCCCAAATATCTGTAATTCTTTTCAACTCAGATAATGTGGTTGGAGAGTTGTAAACTAGTCTTTTGAGTAGGCAGACATTTTCTATGGTATTCAAATTTCACCTGACGCGCTATCGATACTCCTAACGCAAACGCAATGCCCTTAATCGCTCATCACCCACACAATTTATCACGATAGTAATAAATTGCTATGTACATATCGTTATCAACGTATTTAGTAATAATTTGCGTGACCTAAGACAATTTTCCATATATGCCATAATGTTATAGCCATAAAAGTGAAATTTTCGTACGTGGTCCGAGGACTGTATATTTCCACGTGAAGTAACTTTAAAAAATACAGTAATTTAAAACGTCGTCTCCCAGGAAAGTAATTTTAACTTCCCTGGTAATTCCAGTGTTAAGAAGCGTTATCGAAATGGAACGAACGGAGGAATGAAAGTTGATCATTATTCCATGATTGAGTGTTACAAAGTAACCAAAACTTTTTCAATCATTCTTAAAAATTTGTAGTAACACAGTAAAATTTACAGTAATAATTTTGTATCACCTAAGACAATTTTCTATATACATAACATATGTATAACATACTGTTATAGCTGTAAAAATGAAATTTGCACACGTGGTCCTAATTCGATGGCCAGGAACTGTTTTTTGCTTTAACACTCTAATGGACAAAGTAAAAGTGTTACCGAATTTTTAGGACGGTTTCCTGATTGTACGCCCATGAAAATGCGAAAAATATGTCGCCTACGCAGCACATTGTACAGTAAATTAAGTTTGCTTGAGAAAATCTGCTGACAAACCTGGGTCACATACAGTCTCAAAGGAAAAGTATATAAACTGGATTGAATAAATCAAGATCTTAAGTACGGAAGCGTGAATGTGGGAGTTTTTATGTTGAAAACTTTGGAAATATGAGAATTTGGAAATTTTGTGCCTACAGATTTGAAGATTTGGGTATTTGGTAAATTGCAAATTTTTCACAATTTTAAATTTCCAAATTTTGAAATCTTCGAATATCAAATTTTCAAACCTCCAAATTTCCAAATTTTGTAGGTCTTCAACCACCAGATTTTTAAACTCTTAAATTTTCAAATATTACATTTTCAACCCCCTAAATTTCTTAAGTTTGGAAACCTTGAAATATAAAATTTTCAAGCCCCAAATTTCCACGCTTTTCAACTTTCAACCCCCAAATTTCCACATTTTTGAATCTCCAACTCCCAAATTTCTACACTTTTCAACTTTCAACCCTCAAATTTCCCACTTTTTTGAATCTCCAACCCCCAAATTTCCACATTTTTGAATCTTCAACCTCCAAATTTCCACATTTTTGAATCTCCAACCCCGAAATTTCTACACTTTTTATCTTTCAACCCCCAAATTTCCACATTTTTGAATCTCCAACCCCCAAATTTCTACACTTTTCTATTTTCAACCCCGAAATTTCCACGCTCTTCACTCTCCAACCCCCAAATTTTCCAAATTTCCGAATTTCCCTATCTCCAAATCTCTGCCTTCCCAATTACACAACTCACCGCAACATAGCAAAGTCTCGTAATACCTAATTCGCTATCTCGGTGCAGATAACGTAACAGTGAAATTGTTAAAGCCACATGTGGTTCGTGTAAACGACGTACCGTTACAACGCGGTCGTAAATTAAGGGGTTAAGACGTGACGGTTATCGATGACACCATTTTCAAGCTTCGTACATCTCGAATTATTTCGTCACTCTTTCTCCTTGTAAGAGCACCTAAAAATCTGTTATTCCAAGTCCACATTGTCGAGTAACCCTTAGATTCCCATCTTCCGACTTTGCCTGCTTTCCAGAAACCCCCATAACTTCTCGGTCTTTATCGCACTGCTCTCGGTCCCAAGATTTGGGACTCGCCTATCAATCTAAACCATCAGCGCCATTAGATAATGTCTGTAGATACAAGACCACGAAAAACCCCTTTCCATAAATTTACTGTTGTGTTCCGTTACCCCTACATAATTATGGTTTTGTGTAAAAACCTCGTTTCCCAGGACCTTCTCCCTACCATTGGGATACCACCCCCTCAAATTTGTAGTATATAAGAAGGCCCTTCGACGGACCTCGACACTCAATCCTAGTTTAACGTTACTCTAGGCGGGAGCTACTGTAATAGTCTGAATAAAAATAAACGTCTAAAACAACATCCAGCTGAGTTCTTCCTGATTTGACGACAACATAACTCGAAAACTCTATAAACTCTATAAACTCTATAAGCTTATCGTCTCGTATATTTATTAAACTCGTATTTGGGCGATAGAATTTCATGTTCTCTCACGCCTGACCGGTTTTATCACCACTATATCTACAAACCATCTCAGATACCCTGTTTGTACCATATGTTGCACAACACTTTCGTCTGGGTTCGTTTTAAATGGCAAATGCTGTCCGCCTCGAAGTGACACCAGCTGGTGAATAAACAAGCGTGAATTTTTCTGGATATTTGGCAGCCGAAATCTGTTTCCTTGCCAAGTTTCCGTGACCCAGTAAGTACATCTCGCGAATAAAATCGTATTAGGCTGGTTCGAAAGAATTGCTTAGTCAAGCGGCGCAATTCTTCAAGATGGCGTTCGATAACGTTTAACATATCACGCTTCAAATTTAATTCCATAATTTACCAACGAAAAACTTGATGTGTTACTATATTATGTATAACACGATTCTTAATAATTATTAACTTTCAAGTTTAAAGGAGATAACGGAAGTGTGTGATAAATATTCTTAATATAAAATAACTAGTTATTTGATGGATAGTTCAATTATTTACAGTTTATTGTAGCATTGTAAGTACTTGTATCATTATTTTTGTCATGAATGTCAGGTTACTTTATATTAAAAATATTAATAAAAACACTGTTGGGAATAGTATATCATGTTGAAATTTGTATAATATTAAACATGTTATTAAAAATATAGTTAAGCATGAAAAAGTATTGTTAGAATAATGTTATCTGTTTTTAAGAAGTGTTATATAATTTTTAACAAATTTCATACGTTTTAACGAAAATTCTGTGCAGTGCTTTTCATCAAACTTTAAGCTTCATCTTCATCCCCTATTATAACTATTTAGCGGTACCTTATGTCATCAAATCATGTCAGGCATTCAATTTCACCTACTTCATCATCATAAGGACTTGTCATCAAATTGTTGAACTTGAAAATTGATTTCCGTGTTTTTCCGTGAGTTAGGTTCGAGCTACGTTTGCTAGGTTTGGGAACATTTGAAAATTGCAAGAGGTATGGTCGGTTCATACGTCGCTGAGCATTCTTACGTGTTGTGGGTGTTGCGGACTTACGAATCGAAGTATGGCGGTAGCGGATGCGGA